AATAGATTTGAACTATACTTATTATGAAATAAATGTATTTTAAATCTATTACTTTTTTACTAAGGTGGTTTTGCAAACTGTATCAATCATTCAAAGGAACTGTTTCTTCACAAATCAGACACACGAATGTCAAGATTACGATACAGTACATTTAGTTTGTTCCTCACCCAAAGCTATTGTATAACATCAGAAGACTTGTGGGATACTGTTAAAGTATTTTTGCACTGTTTTTGAAGCTTGAAAAGTCTCAGTCTCTTTGTAACTGCATGGAAAAGCCCTTCATTTCCCCTTTCTCCATGTTCAGCAGAAGAAAGAAAATCATATAGAGTTGAAATTACATTAGGGTGAATAAATAATTATATCATTTTTATTTTAGGGTGTCTATGTTAGAGTTTGATTTGATTTCTTACCAGTGTGAGTCCTTTGGTGTGCTTTCAAGTGAGAGCTCTTTGTGTAAACTTTGGTGCATCCTGGTACAGAGAAAAATTGCCCAGATGTTAGTTGACAAATGTCCCTGATAATCTCTGCCCATCTTCAGGATGGCATGGCACATGTAATCCAAAATTATTTACTGGAATGGCCACTAACCTGGGAAGATACAATGATGAATCCTTCTCTTCTCCAGCTCAGGGTTGTTCCGTCGGTTGTATCTGGGTCCCGTGAGGATGCCCTGACCGTGGGCCATTAGCATGGAGTGAGGGGTCATCTGTCCAACCTTCATTCCAATTCTAGCCTGGTATGGTGGGGGAGGGGGAACAGAGGTAATGAGCTCTGCCTGGTTCTCGGGACTGCTGGGCTGGGAGTTGGGGGGCGACGGAGGCAAACTGTGTGGCTGGGGTGAAGTGTAGAATGGCTCGGGCATGCCAAATTCGCCAGATTGCATCGTCAAGGCCACTGTGTTCAGGTTGAGCATGGTCCTGCCAGATGCACCGATTCCGTTCATCGATTGACTCTGGGAGAAGGTCATTGTGGTAAGGTCGCTACTGCTGACAGGCATCTGGTAGACCGCCGGCTGCTGAGGGCCGATGTGGAGCTCGTCTGTGACGTTTATGTCAGGTTTGATAAAGAGGCTGTTGACCGTC